ACTTATTTTTTACAACTCGATGCTCACTTTTTGTTACTTAATACGCTTACTTTTTACAAGTCAAAGCTAACTTTTTGTTTCTTAATGCCTACTTTTTACAACTCGATGCTCACTTTTTGTTACTTGATGCTTAATTTTTACAACTGGATACTTGCTACTCGACTACAATCAAAGCTCTTCATACTAGGTCCATTTTTCGAAAAATCTTTTGCTATAACTTTCATATATGCATATTGTAGTTCTAATGATTTTATTTCTGAACATATAAATTTTGGCAGATTTATACTTATTATCAAATTTATTCATGTTGGTTAAGGATGATTATGTTCTTAATTTAAAAAAAACAAACAGAAACATGTAAAATTTGCAACATCAAAACTGTCTTCAACTATAATGAAAAGTTAATTTTGTGGATATGTTATAGTTGCTGTAAAATCTTAAAATTGTGTATTATTTAGACACTACAATATTGAAATTCCTGTACTCTTTTTTTTTATTTGACTAAGTGAGTGAAATAAATTAATGATAAACTGGTCCTACCTTTGATTGTGATATAATTGGTCGACCAACCTTTTCGTAATATTTTTTCTTTGCGTTTTCTTTGTTTTATTCTTATATAATTTGAATGTTGACAGTAACAACAGAGGCTGCGTATTTATACATCCCAAATGGGTAGCACTGTGCGATTTGAACTGGTATAAAATTTACAAACGTATGAACGGCCATCGTAGTGACTATGAATGCAAGCCAGACCTTCCTCTCAGTCGACATTTGAGATCCCTTAGGCCTGGCCATCTTAATCGACTGCTTGGTCTAAGGAGGAGAAAATCACTCGGGAAAGATTTTGGATAAGAAAATTAAAAACTATGACACCAAATGGGATCATTCTAATCGCGCAGTGCTATTCATTTGGGTTGTATAACTACGCAGTCTCTGTTTTAATTCTTTTACCTCCGTCAACTCTGAAATTCTATATTTATACCTGTTCAATTCGCACAGTGCTGTCCATTTGAGATATATAAATACACAGTCTCTGTTGTAATTATATAACCTTCGTCAACTTTGAAATAAAAGAATTATACCAGTTAAAATCGAACAGTGTTATTTATTTGGGATGTATGAATACGCAGCCTTTGTTGTAATTACTTAACTTTCGTCACCTTTGAAATTTTAGAATTGTACAAGCTCATATCGCACATTACTATTATTTTGGGATGTAAATCTATGCAATCTCTATTGTAAATAATAACCTGCGTCAACTTAGAAATTCTAGAATTATACAAGCATGGTTCGGTTTTTAATTTGTGTAACATTAAAGATTGTTTTAGTTAAATCATATTAGATTGACATGATTCATTGAAGTTAGAACATCTTCATTATCATGCTATTATACTGATGAAGGATATCTGTTATCCGAAATATTTGTAGATACTTATATTTAAAAGGTCCACATAATGTTAATGACGTCTTTACACAAAATCCATTGGATAGTGGATGTGTACTGATTGGTAATAAAGTCTTAGATACATGAATTTTTACAGAGGATGACCTTCAGCATTCCGATGTATTGCTATCGCCTAAATTTCCATTATGCAAATTAGTTTTGGGATTTCAACCGATCTATAAAAATTATAGATCCGCGGTCATTACAAGGGAAAAAAGTGCATTTTTATACCTGCGATTCCGTTTTCCGTTCGTACAATGTTTCATCAAAAAATGGAATCATTTCAGTTGTTGATTTAGTACTGAAAATTTGACTGAATTATCTCCTTTTAAATACGGTTTTATATGTTTAATTGGTGTTTAAGAAAGAGGTCAGGTGCTCATGTTCATTCATAAAATTATCGTTCATTCATTCATTAATTTATCGTAAAATCAAAATCACTACACAGGTCACACAGGTTGTATACGTAATGTCAAATGATTACCTGTAATCTAAAAATAAACAAACTTAACTGACTCCCCTTACTATTAATAGTGTGTGATAACATTTTGTGAGGAAATTCGATGTTTGCTATACCACTGTTCATTTCAACGCACTTTATGACGATACCACTTTATCAATATGAATGAAATTTTTTGCAGTGTTTTAAGAAATAATTTTACTTTAAAATCGCGTATCATTTGTGAACTATTAAATGTTTTACAAGGACGAATTTTCTGTATAAAGTCAATAATTGTGTGAACTTTTGAAGCCCAAACTTTTTATAGCCTTAAATACGCTAATGAAAGATCCGAAAACTATACCCATACAGAACGACATGTTTTTGAAATTGTAGCAAAACTTTTGGTTGACAAATTTTAATTCGTTATTGCATAAATATTAACTTGAAATATCTGTCATTTTCTCCCTACCAAGTTTACCCCTATTACTCATTATGATGTGGACTGGACATTGTTATTGAATCTTATGCAATTTGATTGGATTAAGTTATTATTAGATTACCTTCAAACTGTTCATGCTTTTTCGTACGAGTATATCGATTAAATCAGAGCGTGCATGAACGTGTAAAGTAAATTAAATGACCTGCAAACTGGACACTGGACCAGTCCATATTACGTTTTATCAATGAATAGATTTTTTTTTTGTATTTTCCAAATTACAGGGCCCATAAAGGGCATAAAATCAGATACAATTGATTTACATAATTGGTAACAACAACAATAATAGCGGCATATGAATAGGTATGAGAGGTAACAATTGCCACTTTTTATCTTTTCACATAATTTTCCACATACACATTAGATAAATTATTTTTGATAGCCTATTGCGGAGAAAAAAGAGAAAGTTTACTGTATTAACGTTCTATTCCATTAAATACGCCATTGTTCGCAGAAAAACATTTTATGCACGGCTACGCCAGGTAAAATTGTTGTTTATCCTAACAAAAAAATACAATTTTCAGTTTCATTAGAATATTATAATAATAATAAATCCCAAATTTATGTAGTCATTAGATAAAGTCCTTATATGTCCGATCTGCCTATTTTTGGGCATCAAAAGACAATACGATCGTTTTAAGGTCAATTTCGTCTACCTCACACAATCTTGTTAGGCACTATAATGAAATGGACCTGAAATTTATTTCACATGTTTCCTGAAAATTGATAAATATCAAAGCAACATAGAGCTGTTTGTTCTAGTTCGTATAATGACAATTTAATGTCATGTTTGTTTGTGATGACCCCCCTTTTCGGGATTGCATCAGAATTATAGTTATCTCGTATCGCATGAGGATGACACATATCAACTGAGCAATTATGTTTGGGACTTAGTTTTAAGAAATGATGTCAAAGTAACATTATGAAAATATTTTTAGTAAGCTGAAATATATTTTTATTTTTTACATATTTATGTCTTGTAAGATATTTTATTTCTTGCCCGTTTTTCAACATTTGCGTCTGGAAAGTTGAAATGTTTTAACTGAATGGTTAATTTAAATTAATTATGAAAATTGTTAAAATTAAATCAATAAAGGAAATTATTGCCCAGTTACAAACACTACCAGGGGACAATCCATATTGATTTTTTTTTAGTTATATGTTTCAGCACATGTATAATTAACCCCAACTTTAGCCTGGTAAACTTGTTGTCTCCTTGTGAAATATAAAACATATTTAAAATGATTTCCTGCTAAAGTCTTTTATTGATATAAAGTTAAAACCGTCTTGCTTCTCACTAGTCAACACTCCTGTCCTGTCAGGTTTAATTCTTATATATATGGATGAAAAATAAAAGTCCACAAAGCATTAACATGGCAACAATTGCTTTTACAGCCTTTAAGGCTTTGATTTTTTTTACAGAAGAGTGTCCACCATGCACTTGCACTGCACTATAATAATAGTAGAATAGAATGATATACAAATAGATGAAAATTATATATACATGCAACCGTAATATTAATATAATATATAACAACAAACCAGTGTATTCTCTGGAACTATAATTATATTAGTATAATAGTCTAAGGTATACTGATTTGTATCACTACAATATAATAGTTATTACGGTGAGGTTGAATTTCCTGTCATTTATTCATCATCCAAGCAGGAACTTGTATCAGAAAAAAAAATCTCTGTAAATTTACCTCAGTTTCAGGTATAGAGATGTGATCTGTTTCTGTGACATGTGCTTTTGACCATACACAAGAACCTGCGGTCATCCGATGTTCAGTACTTCAGTACTTTGATTTATTAGTTGTTATTGGTTTTGAACTAGCTGTCAGTAACTGCGAGCAGAGACATATATACACATGTGTATATATGTCTCTGCTGCGAGTACTCTCAGATGTTTTTTTTGTGTCTTTTTAGTTATGTGGGATGTATAAATACTCTGCCACGTCCGGTCTGTGTTTGTGTTGCTAGTAATTGTTTTTCTGCTTTGTGAGTTAAGCCCTTTTCAATTGATTTGTACAGCTTGTTCTTATGTTGTACTATTACATCACTGTTAGGGGATGATTGGAGCCTTCAATATATATATAAGGAGATGTGGTATGAGTGCCAATGAAACATGTTTCACTCCGCCACATTCTTTATGTGCCTGTCCTAAGTCAGGAGCCTGTAGCTCAGTGGTTGTCGTTGGTTTATGTATGTTATATTTGTTTTTCGTAAATTGCTGTTATAAATAAGGCCGTTAGTTTTCTCAATTGAATTGTTTCATACTCGGTATTTTCCATGTAGGGGTCTTTTACAGCCTACTATACGGTATAGGTTTTTCTCATTGTTGAATACCGTGCAGTTGCCTTTAATTTCTTACGTAACATCCACTTCATTTGAACTTTGGTGGATAGCTGTCTCATTGGCAATCATACCACATCTCCTTATTTTTATAGTATACGTGTATTTTACGCAATACTATGCTTATTAAGTTCATTAAACTCGGATCATGTTATATTTACTGGTAAATTTACTGCTTTCCATTCATATAAATATTATGGTAGTTATTCTAATAACATTGGGATGGATGGTGTATGCCATACCTTTCAAATGATAACAAATAATTTCAATAAAAATCTATTTAAAAAAAAACAGCATATAAAACGATGAGCTGAATTTCCCTTTCGGACAAATCTGTTTATTACAGAACAATCATAGGTAAATCTTCAAACGTCTTTTGCTTGCGATAATCTGAGGATTCAATGGCTGACATGTGGGAATCCTGCAATTGAAATATTTTTTTTTTTATAAAACTATATAAAACTTTATGATAAAAATATGAGCAACACGACGGATGCCACATGTAGAGCAGGATCTGCTTACTTTTCCGGAGCACCTGAGATCATCATCCCCGGTTTTTTTGGGGTGTTTGTGTTACTCAGTCTTTAGTTTTCTATGTACTGTTCTTTGTATTTTGATCGTTTATCGGTTTTTGCCGTGGCATTGTCAGTTGTTTTCTATTTAAAAGTTTGAATATCCCTTTGGTATATTTCGTCTCTCTTTAAACACGAGATTTATATACTATATTATATATGGCATATACTTATATACGAGTATTTTGATATCTTTTTCATTGGTTTATCTATATAAGTGTATCATTACAAATAGGACAGCTGGAAGTAATTAAAACATTTATCGGAAAAAAGTATATTTAACTTCAGGTTTCAGAGATAAATTGGAAATTAGTCAATATATAGAATTTTGACAAGAAAAGTCGAAAAGAGTATTTAAAAAATCACTTTAAATGAAGATTTCTCTGATACATCTACCATTTCTACCTATTCTATGGAATTTCCGAATTCGTTTTTATTTTGTTGTATAAATCATTCAAGTTCATTCGACGTATATTCAGTAACTTCGTAAACGATATTTCGTTGGAAGATGTTGTCACGAATTAACGTAGTTTTTGTCTTCACATATATCTTAAAAAACGTAAACTTCGGTGGCAAAACATATCAATATTGAAGAAAATTAGTAGAACTGGGTTTTTTTTTACGAATTTATTGTCCACTGTATCTCTGCAAGTACAAATGTATGAAATGTTTTGGCGGGAACTAAGTATTTTCCATTTGCTCTAGAATTTTGAGAAGTATAAGATACTAGTATAAAACTAACCTGTCGTTTTCCATATGGTGGTTTCCGACAGAGTTCACATTTTCCTGTCTGTAGGCAAGACCGCAGTTTCCATACACATTTTGATGGACAATGGCACTCTAGAAAAAGAGTAATTATACATTAAATAAATTACAAGAGATTTTCAACGCTATCATTACATGAAACATTCATCCTCATTCTCTTTATATGAAACTGAGTAAACCATGTAATAAAAAAGGAGGGCAAGTGAGTGTTGGTTCCTCGCTGATCGCACAGAATCTGACTGGATTTTTTATATCTTACATTTGTCCTATTATATGGTTTAAAAGCTATCAGTTTCTGCTTAAAATTTCAACAACACTAGTACTTTTTTAGAGACATATCTAGAACATACCTAACGTTAAGAATGAAAGACTTTGTGAATTATACGTTAGCGAGACAGTAAAATAAAAACACTATAAACAAGAGAAGACAACTTGATGGCAAGATGTGTTTTCAACATTTGTCAGATATCTATACAATATGGCAATCTCTAAATAGAACCGAGTGTAGAAATTTATCTCAATAATAAGTTCATATATACCATGAGAACGAAAACTGATGACGATCTTAATGATTCAATATTTTGTCTTTTCTATCCTCCTTAATAATTATATTCACACTTTAGATATTCTAAACATGCCTATATGAGCATCGAAATTGCTTTACTTCCTAAATAAAAAGCAGAAAAAATATCAGTCTTACTGCGATGGAAATCTTTGGTTTACAAATCACTCCTAAAGCAGTTTTACTCGACCCTTGTTTTAACCAATGCAATTTTCGAATGCATTCATCTTCCCGACTCGCCATTATCTATTAATGGTTGTTCCTTCACGCACAAACATACACACATACATATATAATATTATTCATCAATTGTTGCTATAACGATGAATAAGATTTAAACTGATATTTTTTTTTTATGTTTGTATTTTTGGAGTAGATTTAATTACAGATTACCTTATTTTGACGGAGTTAGAAATTCTAATCAGATTGAATTTGTAATGATGAATAATAAATTTACTGAGTACTAAAACAACCTATATTCTCTTTTTTTCATGTTATTTTTCTATTCTAAAGCGCGAAATTAATAACAAGCGGAATACATACAAAGAATGTTTTAGTGTCTCTCATTTTTTTTAGTTTTGTTTATTATTAGATCCTGCAAAGTGTCGAACGTGACGGCGGGCACTATTCGAGCAAGAACTGCCTGCCATCCAGGAGCACCTTAACTAATCCCTGGATTTGACGTGAATCGTGTTGCTCCGTTTTTTTTTCGTGTAAAGTTTGTGGATAGTTGTTTGTGTGTTGTCTTGATTCTTCTTTTCCATATGTATAAAAATAAGAAGACGTGGTATGATTGCAAATGAGACAACTCTCCACCAGAGACCAAATGACATAGAAGTTAACAACTATAGGTCACCGTACGACCTTCAACAATGAGCAAAATCCATACCGTATAGTCAGCTATATGTATACACTCAAATTGTACGATTGCTTCGAGTCGCTATTTTAAATTACCAGTACCTGTGTATCGTTTATTATTACGCAGTTAATATGACTAGCCAGTACACCTGCACTATTTGTTTTGAAAGGATGCTTTACATATGTTACATCTTTAATTGTATGAACAGACGATAATAGAAATTCTCTAAGAGTGCATAAATTTCAATCATAATTCTGTTACATAATTACATGTATAACTTGTCTGTGATGTTGTAATTGTCTTTGAAAGATCCATACATATTAAATCCATAAATTATTTACCTTTACGACAAATGATCCCAAGCATCGGATGTCTTATATCAACGTTAATATTGTGTTGTATGCAATTAGAATATTTTCCGGTAATTAAACAGACTTTAAAATAATTCTCCGAGACGTTATTCCCATTGTCATCCATAAAAAGTACAAGTTTTGTTTTTGCTTTGGTAATACGACATGTATAATTACAAAAGATACATTTAATTCAGGGTATATTTTCTAAACAAAAGCCATTATTCCGTAATTTAACCTTTCTATTCTAACAAATGTTCCTATAATTCAACCTGAATGTTAATTACTATTAGTTTTAATTTCAAGTTACTGATCGAGTTTGCGTTCTGGTTGACCGATTTTTTGCAGAATTTAAGCTTTTCTGGTAATCAACTGTTACATTTGAGTGTTGTTCAGGTTGACAATGCAAACTAGGTATGCTCATCGAACGCAGATATATCTACAGATACCTTTTTCACGTACCAGTATATTTGATTCTCAATCTAAATGTTTTGCGTCCAGCGTACCTGATAAGGCCTGATAAGGGTCGTTTCCTCAAAAAGGGTTGTGTGCGTTTACTTTGGTATTTTACGTAAGTGACAAACTAGAATATGATTAGAAGTAATTGTTAGACAGAGAAAAAGTTGTTTTTATAGTAAAACCAGAGTAATATTAAGGTAGGACAAAACAAATAACACCGAATATCGTTTTTCGTCTGTTGGGGCCTTTTTGGCCGAGTGGTCTAAGTATTCTCGGAAAAAGGAATATAAAAGTTTAAAGGGGCATTAGCTGTCAAATTCATGTTCACCGATTTGACTCAAATTCTCATATTTGATTTATAACATACTACAACGTATATCCAAATTACAAAAAGTCTAAAATAAACATTTAACAGTGCATGGATTCGATAATATGTATCAACATTTCTTGTGTATTTTTGTCTAGACGTTATTTAATAAACCGTCGAGATAACCTCCGAAGACTGCCGACGGTATAAAAATTAATAGAAATATAAAAATGGATAGAAACCACGTGCAATTGGATTTTTCTAGGTCTGTTTGATTTCATATTGTAGGTTAAAAAGTGTGTTTATCGTCGTTTCTACCTGTATAAGAAAGATATTTTGTGGATCGAATTAGTCAACCAAATGGTTTAACCTTGTTTCACTTTCAATGTTGACATTCGTTTCCTTTATATAGCTGAATATATGCGTAACCCATCTCCAGTGAAGGGGTTAAATTGAAGGTCACATCAATACGGATTCCATGAGGTCGAATTATTCACTTGCAAATGAATAATTCAGCAGCATTGTTTCTTAGCTTATTTTGACAAAACTGAACCAAACTGGCTGCTAGAAGCTAATTGTTATTTCACTATTTCACTTTCATTAATGATTGAACAAACAAAAAAATCATATTTTATTTTTATTATATCTCGTAGCTAATGCCCCTTTAATACAGATTTATTAGAAACAAATTAATAGAAAATGCACTTTAACTTAACTTAGACAGAACAATTTCAAACATTAATATACAATATAATTATTCAATTCGAATCTTCTGTGTGCTTTCGTCAAAAACAGGAAATGAAACTGCTTAGAAATAAATATATACAACAATATTATACTGCAAATCTAACGGAGTACAAATTAAAACAGCTTTTTACATCGGGATGACCGTGAGGGCATTCCGATGTATTGCTATCGCCTAGATTTCCATTACGTAACTTTCGTTTTGGGTTTCTAACCGATCTATAAACATGATAAATACGCGGATATTAACGAGTGCAAACTAACATTCCTTATCGCTTGTTATAAATACATCACTTCAATGAATACTGATAAAAATATTTTTGTTAAGAACATAAATTAATAATATGAAAATGTTTTGTCGTTAGATATATATATATATATAAGTAAAAAATCATTGATAATATATATGCACACGTACCGAAAAATTGTGTTAAAGCATGCGGAAGAATATCTAAAAAAACATTTTGCGATAATCCCGGCAAGGACCGGTAACTCTGTAATTGTTTTTGCGGGAAAATATGAATGCCTGCTCATATCCAATCTTTTAGAAAAATCGAATTTTTACAGAAGAGTGTCATCCATGCACTTACACTGCACTATTATTAGAGTAGTATAATAGAATGATATACAAATGGATGAAAATTATATATATATATGTAACTGTTATATTAATATAATATACAACAACAAACCAGTGTATACTGATTTGTATCACTACAATATAATAGTTATTACGGTGAGGTTGAATATCCTGTCATTTATTCATCATCCAAGCACGAACTTGTCTCAGAAAAAAATATATCTCTGTACATTAACCTCAGTTTCAGGTATAGAGATGTGATTTTTTTCTGTGACAAGTGCTTTTGACCATCCACAAGAACTTGCGGTCATCTGATGTTCAGTACTTCAGTACTTTGTTAATATTTTGTCATGTAGAACTTTACTTTCGGTTGAAAACAAAATTCCCAATTGTGAACTTTCCATTTCTATGTAGCAACATTCCAGCAGCGCCTGCATACGGAGTATATATCTCCCAATTGATACGATATTCCCGGGCTTGTATTTCCTATCATGATTTCCTTGATAGAGGATTGCTGCTCACAAGGAAGCTATTAAACCAAAAGTTCCAAATGGTGAAGTTGAAATCATCCCTTCGTAAATTTTACGGAGCAATCACGAGATGGTTGACCGTTATGGAATAACCGTTTCACAGATGATATCGGATATGTTCCTTATGTCGTAACTACAATCCCGTTCCCTTTTCGTGAATGTGACCTACCGAATTAGACTATTTACCGGATTTGTAATAACATAAGCAATACGACGGGTGCCTCATGTGGAGCAGGATCTGCTTACCCTTCCGGAGAACCTGAGATCACCCCCAGTTTTTGTGGGGTTCGTGTAGCTTAGTCTTTAGTTTTCAATGTTGTGTCATCTGTACTACTATTTGTCTGTTTGTCTTTTTATTTTTGGCCATGGCGTTGTCAGTTTGTTTTCGATCTGTGAGTTTGACTGTCCCTCTGGTATCTTTTGTCCCTCTTTTACAAAAACTTAGCAATATTTTTTAAAATACTTACACGATACTTATGATTTATGTTTGGTTTTTTTTAGTTGAATGTTATGGTGATTTGTAAATTGACATTTTGCTGTATTTTACCATGCATGCATTATTGTGTTTAGTGTAAATGTATTGAGTATAAAAATGTGTTTATGTGTATATTTGATGTCCTCTTGTACAGCTATGTGTCTAAGGGTTAATAATAAAGTATTGTCTATTGTCTATTGTCTAAAATA